TGGCTGGCGCGGCTCAGGGGCTGTGGACCAAAAGATCACCGGTTCCGTTCCCTGTCAGGGCATGCCTTGGCCGCAAGCCAGGTCCCAGGTTGGGGGTGAGAGGCAACCCATCAATGTATCTCTCATGTATCAATGTTTCTGTCCTCCTCTTTCTTCCTCCCTTCCTGACTCTCTAAAATAAATAAATAAAAATATTTTTTTAAAAAGGCGGGAAGCAGGGGGAGAACTTCCCTCCTAGCCTTTGCCTATTCAATATTTGTACTTACCCATATCTGAATTGGGTGGGTCTTTCTTTCCCAACCATGATTCCTGGCTCCCCATTGGAGGGTGAACTTCCTTTATCTTCTCTGTCTGTGCCAGCAGCCCAAATACCTTCTAGCGATGGCCAGCCAGAGCTGTAACTCAGGGTGAAGAGATTGGCACATGCCCTCCAGACCCAGCCTGCACTTCCTCTCTGCTTTTGTTTCAGGCATTTTCAACATCATCCAAAGCATCCGTTATTTCTGAGGGTGAAAGAGGGAAATAATGGGTAGGCAAATGGAGGAGGAGGAGATGGGCCTGTGTCAGAGTGAAAGACCAACTTTGGATTATGGTCCTTCATTTTTTTATGTAAATTTTTTTTCTATTTTATTGATTTTAGAAAGAGAGAAGGGGAGAAACATTGATTTGTTGTTCCACTTATTTATGCATTCATTGGTTGATTCTCATTTGTGCCCTGACCAAAGATCAAAACTTCAACCTTGGTGTTCTCAGGACAATGGTCGAACCAACTGAGCTATCCTGCCAAGGTGGATTATGGTCCTTTAAACAATTTTCAGACAGCATTGATTGGGCAGCTATTATGTCAGGCATCTTGCACTTCAAGTGCATTATCTCATTATACCCAGTTAGCAATTCTATGAGATAGTGACTATTATTTTATAGATAAGAAACCTGATGTGCAGAGAAGTTCAGTAATTTGGTCAGTAACTCATAACAAGTGATAGACTGAGGACTTCAGTCAGTCCTTCAATCCATACCTTTCTCCTCCAGCACAGCAGCACAGTTCACTGAAGAAGTTTAGCCTCAGATTGACTTTGTTGCTGGTGGTTAAATTGCACAGCCCTAGCCTTTCACTGCTAAGTAGTTCTCAGTGGTAGATCTTAATGTTTCAGAAGACCTTAGCCTGCCAGACGAATAAAATTTATTAATTAATTTCATTTCCCATAAGACAGCCAGGCCTACTGCACAGAGCTGATGGGGCTGCAGACAAAAACAAAGATATCTGAGTAGCCTAAAAAGACAGTTTTTTGTGGCTTCTTTGAAATGGAAAGAACAGCTCTCTGTCCTTAGAGCTGTGGCAGTGAGGGTAACAGAAGTCCCAGACCGCTGTTAGCAACCCTTGCTCCAGCCGCATGGGTTAGAATGCTTGACTGTCTGGTATTTTAGAGAGCTCCACGTGACGGCTGAGGGAGCTTAGAAGAGAACAGAGCATCTGAAGAAATGAGGGAGAGGAAAGGATGGTAAGAGAGAGAGAAGGAAACGTTGAGGGAGAGAGCCATTTTGGGTATTCTGCCTTGAGTTATGACGCTTGTAGCTTTGAGCTCCTTAATTGAATTAAAGCCTGTTTCGATTCAGTTGTTAAGGTGGTGTGGGCGGAAGGATTCTGAGAAGGGTCACATTCAGATTTCAATTCCTGCTTTTTCTTACTGCCTGAATAACTTCTGAATCTCAAGTTATTTCTTAGGATTGTTGTATATGAGACAGAATATTTTAAAAAAGAATTTCTCGCTTAATAGGCATTGAATAAAAGCTATTTATTAAAAGTCTTGAGAACTATCATTTTGTATTGATTTAGGAGGCCTCAGAATTAGACAATTTGCATAATTCACAATTCTTCATAAATTTCAAGAATGTTATCTCTAAGTAGTAATCATTGAAATAAACTAGAAAGACCTCAGATATTTTTAATAGATGATGTGGTCAGCCAAACAAAAAGAGCGTGCATGATCTTAATGAATTTGCTGATCCTCTGGGGATATAGAATGTTAACAAAGTTACCAAATTGTCTGTCAGAATTTTTCATTTAGCTTTTCTAACATAAAATTTTCTCGATCAGTTTTAGACCAAGAAGTAATATTTTCAACATGAAGATCACAAAGAACATACTAAGTAGCATCATTTCAAGTTAGATCTTGAGACATAATTTTTGTTTATTTGTGTTTTTTAAAGATTTTATTTATTTTTGGAGAGGGCAAGGGAGGTAGAAAGGGACAGAAACATGTGGTTGCCCCTTGAGCGCCCCCTACTGGGGACCTGGCCCACAACTCAGGCATTCGCCCTGTCTGGGAATCGAACTGGCGACACTTAGGTTCCCAGGGAGTACTCAATCCACTGAGCCACACCAGCCAGGGTTGCTTATTTGTGTTTTTAAGAGTCTTATTTCCAGGTTCTGCTGGATTGCAAGCTTGGTATTTCAAGGGCCTAGTTTTAGCTTCCAAGCTTCATTATGACTTTCCTGTTTTGTTTTGTTTTGTTTTCTCACCTGAGGCCGGTGCTGAGCCCTAGAGCCAGGAGATGTGATGCATGAGTGGGTGCTTTGTCATGATGAAGTGGCCAATCACCAGCTGCCCAAAGAAATGACCCTATCTCTCCAGTCTATCCAGGCTCATGAAAATAATGAGCATGAAAGAGGCTCCGTAGGTACTCTACCTGGTTCCAGGGGACCCAGGTCTACTTGGTGAGGCTCCTTTAGATCCCACTTCTGACACCATATGTGTTAACCTATAAATAAATGGCCGAAGTGAAAGGCAACAAGCATTTATTTGAAATCCAAAAGAATAGCCATTCAGGAATCATGGACTCAGGCAGAAAGCCGAATAGTGTTTCAGTTAGGAGGTAAAGGCAAGAGGGATTTGTGAATAAAGGAAGGGGAACAATTACATGACTAGAAGAAATAAATTTCTATGAGTGCTAATAAGATAAGGCAATTTCTAGAGGTGCAGATAAACTGACAGTAATGCTAATTGTTTTTCTTTTTTAAGAATTTAATTAATTAATTTATTTATATTTTTATTTTCATTCATTTATGTATTTATGTGCCCTGGGAACCAAACTGGCAACAGTTCGCTTTATAATATGATGCCCAACCAACTGAGCCACACTGGTCAGGGATGCTACCTTTTTTTTTTTTTTTTTTAAGTCCTCACCTGAGGATATGTTTATGGATTTTAGAGAGAGGGGAAGGGAGAAAGAGAGAAACTCTGATGTGAGAGAGAAACATCGATCAGTTGCCTCCCATTTGTGCCCTGACTGGGGATCAAACCTGCAACCTTTTGATGTAGGAGACAATGCTCCAACTAACTGAGCGACCCAGCAAGGGTGACAGTGATGCTAACTTTAAAGGATGCCTTTAATTTTCAGTTTGGGATGCATAACATCTGCTTTCTCGTTACCATCACAAACAGTTGTCCGCGCTACAGTGCTGCTCTAGGCCCAGTCCCATGGTGTTTTGCCCAGTTGTAACACTCCGGAGGTCTGAGGACTGAGACGTGCCGGGCAGTTCCTCTGGGATGGCAGCTCCAGCTTCATTTTGGAGTGACTTCATTTATATTGTATTTCACAAGAGGAAAGGTGGACTGGCAAGAATTAAAGGAGATCAATTATAATAGCACAAAACAGTAAGAAAACTGCAGGACAGGAGGAATAACAGAAGAGCACAAGAAAGGTACAGAATAGAAATCCTTCGAAGAACCCTTCCCCGCCTTCCGGGTTTTGAGTATCTGACTGGTGTGTTGCCTTTGTTTCTCTGGGTGGGGAAGAGCACTGGCTTGTCCTGAGCTGTTCCCTCCAGCCGCACCCCCGCTCCTCTCCTTACCTTACACACAACCCCTCTTCCCTCCTCCCCCATCCTGGTGCACTTACGCATAAGAGGTCTGTCTGGAAGGTATCCAGCCATGTGCTATGGAAAATAGAGACATTTCTAGAAGAAGATACAAGATACAAGAAACATTGTACAGAGGACAACGGCAGCTCAGTCTCCTTCAATGTAGGCACCTTGTGATTTCACACAGTTCTCCCAGTCGCCATCCATTGCCCCGTCGTATTTTCCTGAATCTCATCGCGGGTGTGAAATCTCTTCCCTTTCAAAGGTGGTTTTAGTTTGTGGAAAGGCCAGAAGTCGCAGGGCGACATATCTGGGCTGTACGGCAGCTGAGTCATTTGGGTGGTTTGATGTTTTGCCAAAAAACTCTGCAGGAAATATGATGCGTGAGTGGGTGCTTTGTCATGATGAAGCTGCCAATCACTAGCTGCCCATAGCTGTGACTTCCTGAATCATCCTGATAGATTCTGAAGAGGAATGTTTAAGTTTAATGCTAAATCTGATGCAGAGCTATTCCTGTTGCTCTACTCAATCATTTTGAATGCAATGGGCACACAGTACACATGCTCATTCAATGGCATCTACCGCCCCCACTGACTAGTACAATGAAGTTGTCATTGTTCACGCATATGCATTCCAGTCCACTCTCCTTGGCGACCAGATTATACCAATGTCACACAAACTGCACAAACTGTTCTCATATTAACAATGGCTGGATTTTTCTGGACAGACCTCATGTATGCATCCACTGGGCCCAATTACTGCTGGATGTCTGGCTCACACCTCTTTCTGGCCATCTTTGGTGGTCTGCACACATCCTCCCACAACTCTTGGGATGAAGGAGTATGTCTTGGGCCCTGGCCAGTGTGGCTTAGTTGGTTGGAGCACATCCCTTAAACTAAATGGTCGTAGGATCGATTCCCCATCAGGCACATGCATTGGTTGCCGGTTGGGTCCTAGTCAGGTGGGTATGGGAGGCAACTGATGGATGTTTCCTGCGCAGCTGATGTTTCTCTCTCTCTCTCTCTCTCCCCCCCTTCCCCCCCCCCACCCCGTCCCTTCCCCTCTCTCTGAAATCAATAGGCATGTCCTCGCGGGAGGATTAAAAAAGAAGTATGTGTTGGAATGGAGTCTGGTGAGGGTTGGTTTAAAGGGTGGAATGATATTCTGCAGGAGCCCAGACCTTCCCAAGGAGGGTAAATCAGTATGAATTAAAAACATATATTTCAATCCCAGACATTGTTTCCTCAATTCACACTAGAGGAAAGTATAAGTGTTTATTATTATTTATAATCAAAAGGGATCATGAGCTTTAAAAATTTGAGAGTGACTGGTCAAAAGAGTTAGAAGGTCCTCCCGTTACCCACTGCTCCAGTCACCAAGGAGTTTGTGTGCATGACTGAGCCAGCAACCAGCCGAGGCTGTGTGACTCGGAAGAGAGTAACTGGTGTTCCTCACCGGGGGAGGGGGCGGGGACGGGGGCGGGGAGTGGCTGAGGAGGAAGCTGAAGAGTATCGGCCTTTTCCCTGGAAGAGCCTGGTAGTGCTTCTGAGTCACAGCCCTTCTAGATTTCCCTCTCCGGAAGTGATGTTAGCCTAGAGCTGTTTTTTCACTTTATCTTTCTAAAAGAGTTTTTAGAAACCACGTACTCACACGTTTTCATTTAACTATTCAGGAAGCAGTTAAAAAAATTTTTTTTACTGTTTTTTCCCCCCAGTATTCTCACGTATACATTTTAAAGTTGACATCTAACATTTATCATTGTAAGCTCAAAGAGTTCTAAGAGTTGTAAAATACAATTATTGGCCTCCTGTAAATATTAATATCAATATAACAAAACTATGAAATCAGTCTTCTGAATGAACATAAAGGAGTCATATAAATATCATAGTAATTTGATATTACCTTCACAGGTTTAATCAATTCATGACTAACCTTTCTAAATTGAAAGTTTTATATTGTTTCTTTTTTCTTTGAAATCATATTTCTATTTCTCTTCTATGTAATCTTGTCTTAATATAATTTTATTCATCTCCTATTATACATACTTTTCAACAACAAAAATACATAAATTGAAATTCATTTCAAAAATATTTCCAATGACAGAAAGCTCTAGTTTAAAAAAAAAATGAGTAGCATTTATCAAGACAACAGATGTTACATTTTTTATAATTAACAAGCACTGTTTTACTTCTTAGGTGAACATTTTTTGGAAATTCGTCTCTTAAGGAGTGGAAAGAGTGGAAGAGGTGTGTATAGTTCCTTAACTGAAATAATTGTGGAATTGTCCCTTTGCACAGGATTAGAGAAGAATGAGAAGTAAACTTTATTGTTATTATGGGGTATTTTTGGTCAAGTGGCAAGAGGGCAGCTGAAAAAAGAGACAAGAAAAGAGAGCCAGGGCGGCCGCACCCTCTGAGGCACATCAGTTTCTAGGAAGGACACACGTGGAAACTGAGGCACCGGCCGGGGAAGAAACTAGGTCACGGTCACAGTAACCAAGCAGTGCACTTTGCTCCCTACCCCATGGGATCTACACAACCTCCAGCCCCTGCAAGTTCCCCCTGAGTCCATTCTGGAGTCCGTGGTGGGGGCTTTGTTGTGCTCACAAACTTGTCTTATTGGTCCTTTTGAGATTTTTTCCAGTTTTGTTCATCTTTTGCAGAGTTCCTAGCCCTCAGCTACCACAGCCAGGCAAATGGTTCCACATGAGGAAACTGAGCTTCAGACCCCCAACCCCCTTGTGGGCCTGTTTTGGCTCAAACAGTGGCTCTCCAGAGGCAAAAGTCCCCCCGGCCACGCCCCCCCCCCCCACCCAGCGGATGAGGGTGACCTAGCAGGAAAAGCACCACCTGCTGACAGTTCGTAGAGGGGCTTATGACACAAATCTCCCCTTGGTCTCGGCTTTGGTTTAGGAGTGGTAGTAAGTGTGCAAAGTGGCCTCAAGTGCCAGGTTCTGTGACAGGAAGGAGCCCGTCCCGGAGTGCGATTTGTATTCTGTATTTCAGCGTTGCCTGTATTGTCTTCAGAGCCCAGCACTCAAATGGCCCCTTCTCTTGGCCCTGCCCTTGTCTGCTGGTGAACTCACACTTCCCCTTCAAATCTCAGCGCAAACCTCTCTCTTTCAGGATGCCTTCCCTGTCTGCCAAAGGCCCTGAGGTTTTGGGTCTCCCCCTGCACTTGCTTCATGCTGGTACATTTGCTGTTACACATTTGCCTCTCTCTTCAATTAAACACCGGCCCCTTGAGGGCTAGGACGAGGCTTCCCAGAGACTCTACATCCCCAGGGGCGTGGACAGAGTAGGTGCTCAGAGGGTGTTTGTTCAACCCTCTGAGGGAATGTCGGGCCATTTGGAGAAACTTAGAGTGAAAACTGATACTAGAAGTACCCCCTTGATTTCGGCCTATGTCATAAATGGGGGTGAGGGGGGTGAGAAGTGTCCATTGATACTTTTCTCTGTCTTGTTATCTTCTTGTGCAGGAACAGAAGTGAGTGGATGTCCTTGAATCACTAAGTGCCTTTGGGTGCTTAACTCTCTTGAGAATCGTCAGCTCCTCCCATGAGTCCCTGGGACGCCAGAGGTTCTGAGGTTTTCAGGGCGCTGAGGAGAGACGAAGGCCTCTGGGCGCGAGCTGTCGAACACAGCCATGTTCTGTCGGTCGGCTCTTCCATCTCCTGCCCAGGAATGAAGGGGGTGCCCACTGTGATTATCCCGCTGGCCTCGATGACAGAAGCAGTCCATGGAAACCAGCCTCCTGCAAACAATGCTGGGTTGATACTTTCTCTGCTCCTTTTCCAAGGGGAGGGAGCAGCAGCTGGCTGATCTATGAAGTCTTCTGGCCTGGATTTAGGAGGATCTGGACTAACGGCCTGTTCTGGGTGAGATCATCTTAGCAGGATTTTATCCAAGCAAGCCCCTAACCCAGATCTGCACCATCGATTCGGTGCATTTGATGTATAGCAGTGCTACTGAAAACATGGTCCACCACTGGGAGCAGTAGAATATCTTGGGGGTGTTAAGAATGCGAATTCTTGGGCCCCCCTCCAGACCTACTAAATCAGGTGATTGTTTGGTGTACCAAAGTTGGGAAAATACTGCTATGTTAGGTTCATTCTCTCTCTCTCTCTCTCTCTCTCTCTCTCTCTCTCTCTCTCTCTCTCACACACACACACACACACACACACACACACACACACAGCTGCCTACAGCTCCTGCAGCCACTTGGTCGTTTTCCTGCAGTTTCCCTCAGCAGGGCCCTGGGGTTGTTTTTCTCCACTGTGGACCTTGTTCACTTCCTGCTGCTTCCAAGAAGCTGGGAGAGGAAAGAGCAAGAATGGAGGCAGGCGGGAGGGGGAAGGGGCTAGTGAAGGCAGTGGAGCTTTCAAGAATGAAAAGGAAAATGCTTAGTGACAATGTCCCTTTGTGAAGAGTTAGCTTTATGTTGATGGAGCTGCGAGTCATTAGCAATCAGGCCACGTGGTGCAGAGCTGACCTGGTCATTCTCCAGGGCCAGATCGCCCTCTGCTGCCGACTGATAAATAACACTCCTCAGGGACCCTTGAACTGCCAAGGAAAAGGGGAAGAGTCCCCGGGGCTGGGTGGAACGGCAGACGTGACTAAGGCCAAGAGGTCACAAAGTCACCACTTCAGGCAGCAGAAGAATCTAGTTAGATCTGGTTTGCAGGAAAGGAAGAAGTAGCCAGTTCACTGGGTGTTTCCGGAACCCATCCAACCCCAACAGTGGGGTTCTGCCAAGGTCTCCACCAGCTCCCATGATTCCGAGCTCCCCGCTTGATTTGGCTCGGCAGTCATGGTTTCCCCCTTCTTCCTCACCCTTACCTCACCTTGAAAAGAGAGGTATTTAAAATAGGAAGAGGAATTTTTTTTTTAGAGGATGGAATTTTTTTGGTGTGGAGTCCCCCAGGGGCAGAGGGTCAAGCCTCCAGTTTTTCCTTTGAAATCTCCCCTTCTCAGTGTCGGTGTCTTTTGCCTCTACGAGAGCACTGTGTCTCTCTGTCTCCTCTTGCCAGGGAACTCTTATCCCATGGATGTGGACTCAGCCCTCCTTTATTGCCCCACTTAATTGTTGTTGGGAATTATGGTTCATGTGGGTCACTGGTGAAGAGAGCAAAGATTTGTTCCCAGAATAAAAGCTCAAGCACAGCAGTTGCTGCTGCCAGCCACGGGGCAGTGACCCATTTCCTGCTAGTCCTCGCTTCTGCCTCTTCCCAGCTCTGATTGGAGATGGCCACCACCACACCCCGCGCCCTCCGCCTTTGGATTTCTGCAGATCGCGGGTTCCTTCTGGGGAGATACCTTCAGGGTCAGATCTGGAAAATTACTGCAACTGCTCTAGAGGAGCTAGGATGGAGTAGAAGCTGGAAGAAGGAGGGGTGGTGGGCGGGGACATGGAGCGTGGGGGCGGAGATGAGACTCTCCCCCGAGCATCCTGAAGCACAGAGTAAGTTCACCTACACGATGCCAGGCCCCGCGACCCAGATATCTTTAGAGAGGGATTTGGTTGCTTGCTTGGTTTGGGGTCTCCACGAGACCAAACATCTGGATCTTCAGATACCCACATTTGGATGATTTTATCTATAAGCCCCCAGATATATGCTGGTTATCTCCTTGGATTAAAATCAAAGTACTTTATACACTGCCTTGTGGCTGTGGTACTTGAAGGGCAATTCCACCTCGTGTTAATAATCGACTTGCTTGTCCTCATTGTGTGCAAGGTTACATCTGGAAAGCCAGCTTGTGCCTGGGGTTGGGTCAGAGCTCCCAGGGTGGGGGGCATAATCATGGATACTTTAGCTGATGACAATGGTCTGGTTTCTGCAAAAGGGTGCAGGTAGGGAGGTAAGGAGAAACATGGTTCATCGAAGGTATGATTGGTACACTGTCATGATGGACGATAACTAGACTTATTGTGGTGGACATTTCACAATATACACAAATGTTGAATCATTATGTGGTACACCTGAAACTAATATAATATGCCAATTATATCTCAATAAAAAAAAACGGGGATGTGAGTAGCAACACAATTTGCGGGGCTCTGAGCAAAATGAAAATACAGCCATTCTTCTTAAAAAAGGATTAAGATTTCAAGAAGGCGACCGCAGAACATGAAAAGGGAGGCACTGGTAAGCCTGGGGGCCTGGGGATTGATGGCACAGGTGGAAGCCCCGGAACCAGCTCGGGCGGAGGGTCCCCGAGGGAGGCTGTGGACTAACTACCTCAAGGAGCCCCGATGTGTCCCCTCAGGGTTGGTTTTCCTCCGTTTCAGTGTCATGTCTTCTGCTATTCTCAAGGCTTCTTTCTGGCCTTTTTTCATGCCCGCTTGCTGGACAGAGGTAGCTCTGCTTTGGGGTGGGAAGGGTGGAGCCCGCATCCAGGCTGGGGGGATGCACGGGGCGAGAGCAGCAGCAGCAGCAGCAGCACCTGGGAGGGGCCAGTCCCCAGATGGCATCAGGTGGCCCTGGAGCTGTGGAGCAGCAGCAAGGGTGGCCCATGTGTTTGGGGAGGAAACGCCAGGACCATGTTGGCCTTCTTCCGGGATTCCTGCCACAAACAAACAAGAAAGTAAAGGTGGATCCAATGAGAGTTGATCTGTCATATTTCAAAGAAGACAACTGGAGTCACACTGGAAATGTGTATGTTAAAAAAATGTGACCTCATTCTGTGGTCTTGGAGCCAATGGAGACTTGGGCCCGTTTTTGGTTGCATAACGAGGCGAAGCTGATGTGACACACTTTGTGGCTTAGGGTGCGATGGTAAATATATATGGTCTCATCTTTTAACTTCCCATGAACCACTTGAGCCCTCAGTTGCTTTTAGTGCCAAGAAGTTCAATGTCTCCTTAGCGACCTTGCCATCGCTCCTCTGAGTTGTCTGAGAACAGGGGGAAGCAGCTTCCAGCTGAGTGGTGAGTTCGCTGGCCGGGTGTTCACCAGGTTGAGAGAGCAGGGCCCCTCAGGTTCCGCTTTCCGTCCTTCCCGTCCAGGCTGAATCAGTGTTCTATTTCTGTTCGGGGGAGAATGGGCCAACTGCATCCTTCCTGACTTCCTTCTCGGGTTAGGAAACACTGAGGACATTCAAAGCCCCACTCATTACAGACGCCCGTCATTAATCAAGACCTACATGACCTGCAGATGACATTTAATATTAAGGAAGATCAAGTATCTCTTTAAATATTCAAAACATGTATTTTAAATGTGCTTAACAGATGTGTTTAAAATGCTTATAAGCCTCAATAATCCAAATTGACATTTAAAGCAAGAATTGATTGTCACAGTTTCTTTTTTTCTAAGGGAGGTGACAAAATGCAAGTTGATAGAGAAATAAATCTCTGCCTTGGGTCAGATAAACCTGAGCCCCCCGGGGCCCGCTGGGGAAAGAGAAAGGAAAGGAGATTTCTGAGTGGCCCTGAGGGGTCGACTGGATCTGGGGAAAACGCCAGGCACCAGCCTAGCTCTGCAGAGAAGGCCCGTGGCTGGGTTGGGAAGGAGAAGTCAGTGGTTTTGTGGAACAGAGCGAAGGGAACTGACTTTCTGGGAGGTCAAAGGAAGAGAGGCCTGATGTTGGGTGAGCAGGGAAGCTCTGAGGGGAGAACCGATGACCAAATTCAGTCTGCATCGTTTGTGTTTCTGCAATATAAATTCTTTTCTCCCCAAATCTTCAGTGAAGTCTGCTAAGCACACGAACACCTTGGTCCAACAATGAATTAAACAGCACATAATACTTGCTGTGTATCACATTATTCTAAGCACACAACTTATATAAAATATACACAACTTCATTTAATACTCATAATCATCTTATGAAGTCAGTACTGTTATTCAGTTTTCATGAATGAAGGGACCGAGGCACAGAGAGGGTAATTTGCCTAAAGTCAATCATGGTTAATATATTTTGAAACATCACTAGATGTTAATATGCTATTATTTATTTAAATGTCAGTAATTCAAAAAGCTCAGAAAATTATCCATCAAATACCTGACAAATAAATTTGAAGTGATCAAATTCAACATTAATGGTGAGAGAAAACAAGGGGGAGTGTGGGCGAGGACTGTTTTCTGTTGGTTTGTTTTGTATTTTTCCTTCACAAACTAAAGAAGCGCTGAGGCCAGAACTCCAGCCACTGTGGATGCAGCCAGGCGGAAAGGGACGAGCAAAGCAAGTGTAAGGACAGAAGCACAGTGCTGACCAGGAACTGGAGCCCAGAGAGGAAGGAGGTGGTGAATGAGCTTGTCAAAAATAACCCCTACGATCTCTGGGCTCAGAGCATTCTATTCCATAGCAGTAAAATAACTGCTGATCGGATTATGAATCTCCCAGCAATCTTCTGTCTTTGACCACAAAGTTATACACATTTTAGCATTAAAAATTCTTGCGAAGTTATGATAAAAATAAATGGGTATCAGATGGAAACATGAAAACATTATAAATGTCATACATGGGAAAATGGCAGATTCTGGAACTTCATACCAGGAAGTAGGACGTTGATCACAGGAAAAAGAATCCCAAAATAGTGTGTTAAAGAGTTGTTTTGTGGACACTTCATAAACAAAGACGTTGACACTGGGAATGAGTATGAGTTTTCTAGGACTATTTCCTGTCAAGTTATTTATATTTTATTTTATGATAAAGTTACCAGGTGTGCGAATGACTGAGATGCAGTAGTCTCACTGTCTTGATTTTAGCAAGACATTTTCCGAGTAAGTTGGTGTCATTGAGGAAATGATGAAAGATGTGACAAGACTCTAATATTGTTTGCTGGGTTGTATGGATTAGTTTGTGTCAATGTGAACTTATTTGGGGCCTTTGACCCTATCCTTCTTGGTGTTTTTATCAAGGACTTAAAAAAAGCATTTTTGTTAAAATTGTAGATGACTGAGAAAGTGAAAAAAAAATCGTAGATGACAAATTTGGGAGCAAACTTTAATGAATTAGATAACAGAGTGAAGATTTTACAAGATCTTTTTATTGTTGAATAATTACCCCAAGCTGGTAAGAATATTATTATATCCTGGAATTAAATCTAGAAACACATTGAGCAGGTACGAGCTTTTGGATGATGGTTCAAAAGAAAATCCTATGAAAATCCCCAAGGCCGGTCTCCATTACTACCAGTATAACTGCTAAATACAAACAAGCAAGCAAAGAAACAAAGAAGTGGAAGAACTCTGCCTGGGTGGCCAGGGCTGGAGCTCTGTATAAGGGCTGGAGGGCCATTCTTTAGGAAGATCCTTGAAAAACTGTGGGATATTCAATGATGCTAACACAGTGCAAGAGGCTTTTGCATGCATTTTCTCTTATGATTCTTAAACAATCTTGTGTGATAGCTATCACTATCCTTCCACAAATAAAGAAATTGGGCATTATAAGATTAAGCATTTGCTCTAAATCATACAGCTGTAATGAAGATTTGTACACAGATCTGGCAGACTTTCCCACCCATGTGCCCTGCCTCTGTGCACGCTGCCTCTCGGAAGACTAACCAGGTCACTGTGGTTCTGTATGGTCCTGGAGCAGGTCCTCCCTCTAAATTCTTTTAGGCATTTAGGGGGAAGGCCAAAGGTTTTTCTGAGTCTTTTGTTTCTTGAAAATAGCCAGCTTAAAATAATCAATATCCCAAAGAGGCATATTTTGTGGCGGCAAACTCTTAGTCCTAAGAATTTAGGACTAAGGAGATGTTCCTCCTTAGTCTTAAATTCAACTGTGCCTTAACACAAATGGTTCCAGAGTCAGGATGTGCATTTTAAATATGTTTAGTTTCATGTGGAAAATGTGGCTCCACAAGGCATAATTAGGACAAAATAGTTGATCACTATCTGCTACACATCAAGAAAGACTTGATACTTATTAGAACTGTCCCGAAATGGAATAAGCTGCTTAGGGAAAGAGTGCATCCAGCCTCTGCTCTCGGTGCTGGATGGAACAGAGCAATAGCCCAAGTCCCTTCCTTCATGGAGTTTCTCACCAGGGTTTCAGAGCTTTGTGCAAAGTGTGCTCAAGGCAGCTGGCGAGTCACTTGGGTGCCTCCCAGAAGTGATGACATTTGAGTTGGGTCAATGCAGGGTGGAAGCTTGGAATGGTGAATTCTGAGTTGTGCAATCACCTCAATGACTCCTCTTTATAACTATGAGGATAATTCGACGTTTAAGAGTTTATGCAAACGTTAGCTACGTATACTGAAAAGAAAGAGCTCGCATGCTGCTGCTACCACTCTACCCACGTTTCCTCTTCAGTCACTCACAGTTATTGCTGTTGTTGTTTTAAAAGTTATTCAAATAAGATTGACTATGTGTCTTGTAGTCTTTTTAAAAACTCATTAATTAATTATTTTAATTCTTTCTGTTGAATTTATTGGGACGATACTGTTCAACAAATTATACAGATTTCAGGTGCACAATTCTACAAGTGCACCTCCGGAACGGTTTGTTCACCACCCCAAGTCAAGTCTCCTTCCATCACCATTTATCCCCCCATACCCTCCTCCACCTCCCCCACTTCCCCATAGTCTTATACACAAACATTCAGAGCAGTTTTATTTGTAATAGACACAAACTGGAAATGGCTCATTAATAGATAAACATATTAAAGTACATCCATACCATGGAATATTACTCAGCAACAAAAAGAAATGA